AGAGGAGCGTTAGAGTTCATGGTGATAAATCTTTTAAACTGATGGCGACTGTGTTTAGTGAATATCATCAAGTTAGATATTTAATGTTATGTAAAGTTGTTCAGCTCGCCAACCTATTTGACTTGACTACGTTACTGTGAGTAACTTCAGTATTAATGTTTTATTAGATTATTGTTTCAGAAATAACGTTAGTGTAGCTGCTGCAGTGTGAAACTTGTTGAGCTGGACTTTATTTATGAATGAACAGTTTACCTACCCTGTTTTCATAACTTACTAACAATTAAAGCAAATTATTGCACATGATGCATTACATTATATAAACAATACTTTTAATGTGAAAGAACTCCATACTGCACATTCATTGTAGTAGACTGTTTAATCCCAAACCATATTCAGATACATATTTGAATATCCACAGAATATAAGGACACAGACTTTGTTTGAAAGTAACACGTATCTCTGCAATAATGTCATACTTTTATGTTTCCTGTCATTTTATTAGGGACGGACGAACCTGAGGGACACAGCTGTGCTGACCGTGTTCGGTCTCTTATGGCAAAAAAGAAAAGACAACACTTTTTATCTAAGGTTTATCAAATCAGAAAGTAAAAGATGAACATTGTTGTGATAGTGTTAATTTTACCAACCATAATGGATATAGAAATTGACTCAATATTATTAACATGTTGACCAGCCTGAAGCTGCCGATCTCCACCATGTTGCTGCTGCCACAGTGGATTCTGAGGACATCAGGTGTTGCAGTGCTTCATGAAATGAAAAAAGTCATGTTAAAGGATGTTTTATGCTYAAATCATTGTCACATCTGTAGATATTAAGGAACAGAGGAGAAACATGATAATTTACAGATACTGTAGAAGACAATAATTACAATAATTTTGACACGTGTAATATCAGCTGTGTTAAGCAGCCAAGACGGGTACCTACAGTTTATTCTGTGTTCAGCAGGTGGAAGCACCACAAATTTCAGCCAAACTGATGTACTAAAAGAAATTATAATCACATCTAAACTGTCATATAATTACACATCTGCACTGAATCTAATTCACTGTTAATTCATAACAGGCTAAAAAAGAGGTTGTAATAGTAATGGCGGTTATACAAGTCTGTATCACATGCAGCTTATTAATATTAACTTATTAAAATTACAATCAAATGACAAAACACAACTCTTTACTGAAGCTATTTAACTTGCTTCAAACTTCATTAGATGTTTTAAATAAACGGTGAATTACCTCAATAACATCCAAAACCACTTGAGGCATGTAAGTATGTGGTATGATTATAATAATAAATAAATCAATAGGTTTTGTTGTTGTAAACTTTCAGTGTAACTTACCTCTGTTCGGTTCGATGTTACGACCGCGACCATCCCGGAGCAACAACACCGCAGCGCTAGCCGGTTAGCAGTCGCGGGTAGCATTTAGCCTAGCTCCTTAGCCTGAGCTAACCAGGTAACGATGAGCTCTGTGGGCGTGGCCCAGTTGTCAGTCTTCACTCGGCCCGCCTAGCGTCCACACGCGCGCCTCCTTTTTGCCCATATATGGGTTAGCCCGG